CATACGACGTCTCTGAATTCCGAAACACTTGAAGCAATCTCTGAATATATTGCAGAGACCAAACCATCAATGGACACTGATCCACCCTCCGCTCCTCCTCTCTCATCTACTCCATCTGCGCAACTCCTTTCTTCACAGCGCACCGTTCCTTCGCTGCTTGAACGTTTTCCACTGCCTCCGCATGTGGACTTTTCTAACCCCTCTAGTCCGTAGGAACCCTTACCTGCGGATTTCAGGTATCTTTATCATTGCCAATCATTGCCTATTTACAGTGGAATATACGCTGCCTCAGGGGTAATCGGGGTGAGCTTTAGATGTTGCTCTCCCAGTTTTCCCCTGTTGGTGTTTGCTTACAGGAGCCAAAATTACACTCTGATGTTATCTCTCCCATCTCAGGCTATAATTTATTGTATTCTTCAGATCCTTTTCCTGATGGGACCTTTAATGAAAGTGCCCTTCTTCTACGCACTGATATTCCATACCATCAGCTATTTGTTCGTACTTCGCTGCATTACACAGCAGCCCGTATCCACTTGCATAGGTGGTATACGCTCTGTTCTTTATATCTCTCTCCTTCTCGGGCATTATCTATTCCAGATATTGCCTTTCTTGTTTCGTCATTACCGCCACCGATTCTGTTACTTGGTGATTTTAATGCCCACCATTTCCTCTGGGGGGGGGTCTCACTGTGATTCCCATGGCATTCAGTTAGAGGCTTTTCTTGCCACCCACCCCCTCCATGTTATAAATACAGGTACTCCTACCCATTTTGATCCTCGGACTCACACTCTCTCTTGCATCGATCTCTCAGTCTGCTCTTCCTCTGCCACATTAGACTTCACTTGGTCTGTTCTCCCGGACTTACATGACAGCAATCATTTCCCAATCATTCTTTCTTCCCCTTCATATTCACCACCTATTCGCATCCCACGCTGGCAATTTGATCAGGCAAATTGGAACCTTTACTCACACCTAACTGTTTTTAGAGAGGTACCTTCTTCGTCCTCCATCGATGAGCTTTTACACCTCTTCTCGTCCTCCGTTTTAGCCGCAGCTTCTCATTCTATACCCCAAATTTCGGGCAGGCATTCTCAGAAATGCATGCCTTGGTGGTCTCCTGCTTGTGCTCGTGCAGTACGTTTGAAACGCGCTGCATGGGGCAGGTACCGGTACAATAGAACCACAGAGAGACTTCTTGATTTTAAGCAGAAACGTGCGATCGCTCGCCGTGTCATCCATGACGCTAAACGCACTTGCTGGCGAGATTATGTCTCCACCATCACCTCTGCTTCCTCTATGAGTGCAGTCTGGAAAAAAGTACGAAAACTGAGTGGTAAATATTCTCCTGACCCGGCTCCTGTTCTGCGGGTTGCCGGTGTTGATATAGCAAACCCACTAGATGTTGCCAATGAAATCGGCAATCATCTGGTCTGTATTTCTCAGGGACTCCATCTATGCCCCTCATTTCTTTCCTCAAAGTCTGCCAGAGAGTTAGCACCCTTGGACTTTTCTTCTCTCAGAGAAGAACAGTATAATGTGCCTTTTACACTTCAAGAACTGGAGGCAACACTCTCAGCTTGCCGATCATCGGCAGCTGGGCCCGACGACATTCATATTCATATGCTACAACATTTACATCAGTCAGCCCTTGCAGTCCTATTACGCCTTTACAATCTTATTTGGTCACAAGGAGTTCTTCCACAGCTGTGGAAATCCGTCATTGTTCTCCCTTTCCGCAAACCAGGCACTACGGGACATGAAACCTCCCACTATAGTCCCATTGCTCTTACCAGTGCAGTTTGCAAAGTGATGGAACGCCTAGTAAATAGACGTTTAGTGTGGTATTTAGAGACACACAACAGTCTCTCCACTCGTCAATACGGCTTTCGTAAGGGACATTCTACCATAGACCCCTTACTATGCTTGGATACGTATGTTCGTAATGCATTTGCGAATAACCACTCAGTTATTGCCATATTTTTTGACCTTGAGAAGGCATATGACACAACTTGGAGGTATAATATTTTAGCCCAAGCCCACTCCTTAGGCCTTCGAGGCAATCTACCATCCTTCCTTAAGAACTCTTTAACTGACAGGCATTTCCATGTTCGGGTTAATAATGTGCTCTCCCCGGACTTTATCCAAGCTGAAGGTATCCCCCAGGGATGTGTTCGGAGCACAACACTTTTTCTCCTTGCTATTAATGATTTGGCCTCTAGTCTTCCATCAAATATTTGGTCATCACTCTATGTTGATGACTTCGCTATTGCCTGTGCAGGCGCTGACTGTCACCTCATTACAGTTTCTCTCCAGCATGCAGTCGACCGTGTTTCCAATTGGGCCACCACACATGGGTTTAAATTTTCCAGCACTAAAACCCACCAAATTACTTTCACTAGACGCTCTGTCATCTCCGATCATCCTTTGTACCTCTATGGCTCCCGTATCCCTGAACGTGATACAGTCAAGTTTCTGGGTCTCCGCTTTGATCGTAGGTTATCCTGGAAACCTCACATTACCTCTCTGAAGGCAACTTGTCACAGCCGGCTGAACCTTCTTAAAACCCTTGCTCATCTTTCATGGGGAGCTGTTCGTCGAACCCTCCTTCGCCTACATTCCATCCTTATTTTATCGAAACTTGATTATGGTGACCAGATCTATTCAGCGGCATCTCCTGCTACTCTCTCTAGCCTTAACCCCATTCATCACCAAGGATTACGTTTATGCCTTGGTGCTTTTCGCTCTTTCCCTGTCGAGAGCCTGTATGCAGAAGCGAACGTTCCATCCTTATCCGATCGCCATGATGCCCATTGCCTTCGCTACTATGTACACTCTCATGATCTCCGCAATCCTTCCATTTATAGAATGGTCACTGATATTAGTAGACATTCTTTATTTGTTCGCAGCCCCTGTCTACTCCGTCCCTTCTCTCTTCGCCTTCATTCACTCTTGTCTTCTCTTCAATTACCACCTTTCTATGTACATGTAGCATCTCACTTTTCCCTACCCCCCTGGGAAGTTCCAGCTGTTCGAGTCTGTTCTTTCTCTCTCCCTTGCTTGAAAGCCCAACTGTGTACGGTTGCTTCCCGCTCTCTTTTTCTTGACCACTTTCACCCTCATTCTCATGCCATTGCTGTGTACACAGATGGCTCTAAGTCTTCTGACGGCGTACGATTCGCAGCAGTGTTTCCAGACAGCATCGTACAAGGGCATTTACTATCTTCAGCTAGTATTTTTACTGCTGAATTGTATGCCATCCTTACAGCACTTATCCGTATTGCATCTATGCCTGTGTCATCATTTGTGGTTGTCTCAGACTCCCTTAGTGCTTTACAGGCTATACAGAAATTTGATACACCTCACCCCTTAGTCCTCCGTATCCAACTTTGGGTACGCCGCATCTTTACCAAGTATAAAGATATTGTTTTTTGTTGGGTCCCTGGTCATGTTGACGTACAGGGCAATGAACAGGCAGACACTGCTGCGCGGTCAGCAGTACATGACCTACCAGTTTCATATAGAGGTATTCCATTTACGGACTATTTTGCTGCAATATTTTCCCACCTTCACACCCGTTGGCAACAACGTTGGTCTACTATGCTCGGCAACAAACTTCAATCTATTAAACCGAGTATAGGTTACTGGCCGTCTTCTTATCACCAGTGTCGAGGTTGGGAGACTACTCTCTCCCGTCTTCGCATTGGCCATACTCGTCTTACTCATGGATATCTCATGGAGAGGCGCCCTGCTCCTCTCTGTGAGAATTGCCAAGCTCCATTATCAGTCAGCCACCTTCTGTTGGACTGCCCACTTTATCAACGAGCACGCAGAATTTACCTCCGTCGTCGTCTTCGCTCCGCTGCTCTCTCTTTACCTTCCCTTCTCGCTGATGGACCCACCTTTCATCCAGACTCTCTCATTGACTTCTTGACAACAACTGACTTACTTCACAAATTCTGATACCTTCAGCCCTATCTACTTCAATCTCTTGCTACCCTCTACCCCCATACTATCCCCTGCCCCGCTGTTTTCTGTAACCTACTGATCATCCCTCCTCCCTTCTGCCATCCAATACCCTTGCTTCCTTCCCTACCCTGCAGCGCTGTATAGCCCTTGTGGCTTAGTGCTTCTTTTTGATTATAATAATAATACATGGAAGTTAGAGTAATGTAGCTATTTATTAGACAGGATAACGAATTTTATGCAAATTTTGTGATTTTTTTTTATTAAATTAAATCTTGATAAGAAAATCTGGAACACAGCAAATGTTACTGTGTAAGTTTTTCTATTGTAGATTTTGATATGCAGAAATTAAATTTAAAAAAGAAAATGCAGTAATTTCTTTTTACTCTGAGAGCTTCTAATTTCCATTACTATAATAAAATATGTGAAATGATACTGTAATATGCACAATTTATTCTCCAAGTTTTTTCTGTATGCTGTGGTGAAATTTTTAATATGTAAATATTGTAAATAAATGCATAATATATACATAATACAGTTTTTTGTCAACTATTTCTCCTACCTAATCATAAAATAGTTAGGTTCTTTATTTAAAAAAAATATATTGTGAATTTAAAAGCATTTGAAATTGGAATAAAATTGGGGCTGATAATTATCAGTTATAAAATAATGATTTCTAAGGTATAACTTCTGCAGTTCTGAATTTAATGCACCTTTTCTGTCCTGTCCACCTTTCTTCTCTCTCTCTCTCTCTCTCTCTGCTCAAGTACAAAATCCACTTCTCTTCCCTTTTGTAATGTCCAACCAAGTGATCCAAAGTTGAGCTAGGCAAGTTTCCTTGATGCTAATACACTTGATAGACCCTAATCTCTCATTTCTTATCCCCACAAGGAAAAGTCACACTATTGTAAAAATTATTCTAGTGTGCTAATAGCTTAACATCTTTTGATAGACTTAAGATTTGATCAGAGGGCATTTTGATTTAATTCTCAACCTCCTTCAGTGTCCTGATATGCTTCTCTCTCTAAGTCCTACTTTTCATCTTTAATTAATGCAGATTATTATAGTTTAATGAATGACCCATACACATTGCATTTGAAGGTAATTAAAGTTTATATCGCACTGTTCTGTAATGGCTATTTATAAGCTGAGAAATTAACCAAACATTTTTACCACAAGTCATAACAGCTGGAAGAAAATGCAGAGCCAGTGGAAAAGCAAACATAATGATCAACTGTATCAACCATTTCAGTACAGGTGGCCCTCCCAATTAGTGAGGGTTAGAGGATCAAGAACCTCACCAATGTTGAAAATTCGCAAATGTTTGGTGCACAAATACATATACGTATATTGTAGGGAAATACTATAATAATAGCATTTACTTAGCCTAACAATACTGCTTCCTTAACCTTTTGAACCATGAGCAATCATAAAACACATGACAACATCATAAAATACATACATGTATTGTATATACATGAGCTGTGCTGTCATTCTCACCGCTTGCCCTAGTTTTTCAAGGGTCAGGGCTTTAGGTTGATTGGCCTCAGCAACACTCTCCTCTTCTTCATCCTCATTCTCTGCCTGCACAATCTCCAACAACTCTTCATCATTTAAGCCCAGTGCATGTTCTTCAACCAGTTCTCTCACCTCACCCTCCTGCATGTCCTTGAACCCTTCACCACCAACTAGTTTGCTAACTCCAGTCTTCCTCACGGCTCTGTTAACCTTGTCCTGGGGACCAAATCCAATAAAAACACACACACACACACACACACACACACACACACACACACACACACACACACACACACACACACAGAGAGAGAGAGGGGCCACAAAGCCCTCCAACAACCCTTCACTGTCTGAGTGCAAATCCTTGACACTTATGCACTATTGAGAGGCAGTCAGTGATGGTGATTCGCGAATGTTCAAAGCTCGCAAAAGTGGAACTCATGAATGTGGGGGGCCACCTGTACATACTTTGTATCAGTAATAGTCTATTAGGAGTTCCATTACAGAATAATGTGCTAAATTGTACCATACATAGGTCACTTAGACAACATTAATGCTAAGTATTAACTACAACATATGTATTGCAATATATACTAATACTTTATATTAAATAACTAATGTATGCATAACATTTTATTAAATATATACAAAAATGTTCATAAGACATGTTTGGAAAACTAGTACACTTCAGTCATATCATTGACAAATAGTATAATTACACAGTCAATTTTACTTATTAAGATATAATTGCATTATACATCCAGCACCCCTCAAAGGAGGTTCCTTGATGCCAGTGAGGGACTCTTGATCCAGGGTATTGTACTTGCCCTCATGGATCGAATGAGATTGGCTTCCATTTTCCCCAGGCATTGTAAAACTTGTATGGGCTTAGGACTTCCTCCTAAATATAATAATAATTCACTTGAAAGGCAAATTTTTGACATTACTTGCACCTTATACTGAACTGAGTCAAGTCTTTTTGCTATCTACTAGAAACCTGTACAAATATTTAAGTTTTAGTAATGTCACTGCAGCCATCTTATTCACCTACATTGTAACTTTTACACAACATATCCTTGAGATAATTTTAAGCAAGAAAGTTCTTGAGGTATAATTCTCCACCATGTTACTAATGGTAATTTCATACTCTTATTGGGTTTGTTATTTATTACTACAGTACTAGCAACAGTCCATATCAAAGAATAAATTTAGCGAAGCATATGAAAGGTTGTATACACTCAGTTTCCCTTCCATACACATTGTGCATACATATCACCTCAATAATACCATGTCAGGCACAGCACCTCTTAGGATCATACCTTGGTCTCATGAGTTATTTCAATTATTAATTCTTACATCATTCTATAGTTGTCCCCAATGGTTAAATCTTTCATTAATGACACACATGGATTTATGATTCACCATAGGTTTAAAATAATTTTGTTGCTATGTACTGTGTCATGTTTTAAACTGTTGAGTCTTGAAATACTTTATTATAGGCATATTGTGCACTTATCACAGTACAAGTACAATAAACTGAAGAATATATATGGAAATGCTAATGACTTGTACACAGTACTTGTTCTGATTTTGGTTGTTTATGCTATAAAAGCTAAGAGTTCGGTTTGATTTAGAATCACTATTAGTTAATACTTTTTATGTTCGTGCAATAGCTGCTGCATCCCTTGGCCTTCCTGAAAAAGAAGTGAAGAAAAGTAGCATTTAGTAGTTTCAAATGGTTATGAATACACCTTACTATCTCTGTAAAAGTGACTCCAGCCTCAAGAATGGATTGACTTTTAAATATTTAAGCCTTACCCTTACTGAGGGTCACTTAGATAAATTAAACTGAAATTTCATGCTAAGTATGGAGTAAAACTATTAGTGTATCTGATAACCTGGACAGTTTACACTAGTAAATAAGCTACAATATACTGACCATTTAAATGCAAATAATTTATAAAAATTGCAGATCCCCAACTACATTTCAATAAGACCAGAAAAATATCACATCCTTCTTTCTACTTTATTTTACAGACTTCTTCATATGTATAGTATGTATTAATGTTCTTGGAATGTAGCACTCTTGGCTTTGCTAAGAAGTCCTCAATTCTGTGTCTTATCATACATGTAGTCCCCACTTTATAGTGCTTCGCTTTATGGTGTTTCGCTAATGCAGCATTTTTCAATTATACCCATTCTTCATTTATTCAGACTTCCTTCAATAAATATATTTACTCACTATAAGCTAAGGATGAAAATATTTTAAGGTAAGTAATGTATATACTGTATAGTACACATTTATTAGGCCTAGCTCTATTGCTCACTTAATATATGATAGTATAAACATGTTATCTAGCTTTTATATGCACTTGAGAGTGAAAAAAAGGCTGTTTCACTTTATAGTGATTTCCACTTTACAGCAGCAGCCCAGAACCTAACCTGCTGTATAAGCAGGGCTCTCTTGTCCTTGGCTCCTGTAAACATCATAGCCTGTCAGTGCTCTGTAATTAATGAACCAAGTGGCAGTGTTCAAGAGATACTTGTATGGTACATCTTCATGATGCAGCTTAAAATTCTCTCACAGATTAGCTGTAGAATGTGAAGAGGATTTCTAGCATTCCTTTGCAGCTTCCTTTTTTTGCTGAGTACCAAAATAACTCCATGTTTTATTATTTCTATCAAACTCAAAGGCAAGTTAGATGAAAACTGGTACCCTGGAAATTATATTCCTACAAGCAAAAAATCTAGAGATCCAGGAAAAATTGTAGTACAGTACTAAATTTTTTTGCTTCCATACAGTACTAGACGAGATGGCAGCCACCTGGGTGAGAACATGATTTATGAAGGATCTGATAAACTGCAACACATGAATTTAAAAATTTTTAGTTGCTTTTGTCTGGTTTCTCTTGCTTATATTAGAGTATAATTACTTATTCTTCCTCTGCTCTCCTCTTTAAGTGGGGCTCCTTGCAGTGGTAAAGAGGTTATTGGTCTGAGGAATTGGACCTCTTGGTTTTCTTCCTCCAACTGAACCTAATTACCCCCCAATCCTCCCTTCCCTACCCCACCCTCCCCAACCCCACCCTCCCCATACCCCCTTTTTTTCCCCTTTCCTCCCCTCTCCCCACCCTCCCCTTGTTTCCCATCCCATTTGTAGCCTCTGGGGTCCTCCCCTCTGGCATCACAGTTTCTAGGTAGGGGGTGGCATGTCGGGGTTCGTCCCACTCTGTTAGGTCCCTCGGGGGTGGTGTGGTTTGCCATGGAATCTGAATTATCTGAAGGTGCCCTGCTCCCTTCCTGGATTTCCGGGAAGTGGGCGGGATGCCCTTTGGGTAACGGGTGTATCTCCAGAAGCTGCCTTTCGGTTCTGGGAGGTGGTGGCCGAAGGGGGTATGCTTTGTGGTGGGTTACTGACCACCCTTTCTTTTGTCCACTGAGGTAGCTCGGTAGATGTGAGGCTGCTATCCTGGAGCGCTGGTTTACTGGCATGAAGGGTAAGGTATGGCACGGGTTCCACACCGCATCTTCACAACCAGTGGGCTCGAGGCCCTCTCGAATGAGGGGGAAGAGCTTTCGGCCCCTCCATGCCTCCTAGCAACTGTCCCTTCACTGTCCCTCTTTTTTTTCTTTCCTTCTTTCTTTTTTTCTTAAAATAATAAGAAAGGAGATATCACAGTAGAACCACCTTTATTATGGAGTCTTCGCCCAGTGAAACCCTTCCTCCTCCCAGACCATTTCTGATCCCACACCCTATTCTGACCCAGCTTCATTATCAGTCCATTCTCTCGACTCCTCTCCTACCCCTGTACCTTCTGGTGGTGACGCTTCGTCACCTACTCCAGGTGCTGTGGCATCACCCATTTCTATTCATGCCGCTACTTCTAGCATACCTTTCACACTGCGTCCGGCTTCCCTGAATACGGTACAACTTTTTTCAGATCACCCACCTCCCTCAGGTCTGACCACCCACAGTACTACATCCAAGACAACCTACTGACGACAGTTCATCGATAATTGCTCAGAAATGACCTATGCGGCACTGACTACCTTTGTGTACCGGGCTAACAAGTACACACTGGACAAAATTCTTTTCTTTACAGACAACATCTCAAACCGATTCTCTTTCTGATCATGGAATTGTTAAAACTCTTTTACGGCACATTGGTCAAAATATATCCTTCCACACTCTTCGAAGCGGTGCGCATGTCATAACAGTACAAAATTTAGAGCAAGCTCATGCTCTCCCACATCACTTCCATAAATAACATACCAGTCACCGTTCGTAAGCATGCTACTTTTAATTCTTGCAGTGGTACTGTGGTCTTACTGCTTACCATTGTACAGAGTGATTTTTTGTCTTGTGGCAAGGATACATATTTCAGAACAATTAGCCCTTCAGAACCACCCTATTCTTAAGGTAGATACATCCTACCTGCTCATGGGTGGAGGTGTTTTCCTAGTAACATGGCTTGTTTAGCCTTAGACTGCCGTGAACTTCCGTCCTCTGTCTATATTGCAGGCCATCGCTTAGAGGTCTGTCAAGTAGTTCCCACTCCCCAACAGTGTTGCAATTGTTGTCATTTTGGGCACCATGCTAAACACTGCAGATCTGTGGCAGAATTCCCGGTCTGTGGTGCAGCGGATCATTCCAATACCCTCTTGTCTCAATTGTAAGGAACCGCATCCTTCCTTTTCACACTTTTTGCCAGGTCTGTCATAATGAATGAGAGATCTGTTATCTTAAGAAGCGTGAGGGCCTTACACTATGGCTGTCTCTCAGCTCCGCCTTCAAGGAAAGCTTCCCCAAGTCCCGTATGCTCGGGTAGCCCAAAGATCTCCAACCTCGACAGTCCTCCCTCCTCCCAATCCCTCTACATCCGTGTCTTCTGGGGTCACCCCGGTTTCTAATCCTTTTGTGGTTTTATCCTCTGACACTCCTACCTCTGCACCACTTCCTACTTCTACTTCATCTCGCTCGCTTGCTTCTCTATCTACAAGACCTCGCAGACCTACACTTCCTTCGCTTACATCACCTGTACAGAATCTGTCTTCTACCTCAGAAACTAGTTCTCACCCCCTTTCCAGCTCTCAGACGAAAGTGGAAGTTCACCCCCCCACCCTCGTGCAGTCCCCTCTTCCCCCCAGTCTTCCTCCATAGTTACCCTCCAACCTCCTTCCTCTCCTGTTACACTGCTGGACTCTTCTACCTCAACCAACACATCTATCCAGGTTCATACTCTCCCCCCCAGACCTCTTTGGTTGCCTCCATAATTACTCTGGCCTTTACTTGCAGTGCCTCTCCTGGCATCGTCGGCTTAACAACTGAGACGTTAGATACTATCTCCTGCTATATTGTGGAAACGACACCCCCAATGGACACCAACGCGCCTCCTTCTACCCCATCTATTTTACAACCCTCGCAACAATCTATTCCTCCGCAATATTCTAATTCTTCCTTGCTTACCCGCTTACCCTTGCCCCCACATGCTGACTTTACTGATCCTAAAAGCCCATAGGTTTCATTGTTTCTTATTGTTGTCATTTTTTATTTCTGTACATAATGTCTTTTTTACAATGGAATATTCGTGGCCTTAGGGGCAATCGAGGAGAACTCCAAGTATTGCTCTCCCAGTTGTCCCCAGTATGTGTTGGGTTGCAAGAGCTCAAAATTCATTCTGCTGTCATTTGCCCCGTTTCCGACTACGTGCTGTTACATTCTTCCGATCCTTTACCTGATGAATCATTTGATGAAAGCGCGCTTCTTGTGCATGTTGATATACCATATCAACAAGCTTTTGTTTGTTCCCCGCTGCATTATACTGCAGCTCATATTTATTTACACAAATGGTTCACAATTTGCTCTCTCTATCTTTCTCCCTCCCATGCATTCTGTATCTCTGATATCGCATTTTTAATTTCTTTTCTACCGCCACCCATCTTGATGTTGGGTGATTTTAACACTCACCATGATTTGTGGGGAGGGTCCCACTGCTACTCTCGTGGTGATCAGTTGGAGACTCTTCTCGCTTCTCATCCTCTTTGTTTTAAATACAGGTGCTCCTACCCATTTTGACTCTTGCACTCAGACACTCTTGCATTGATCTTTCTATCTGTCCCTCGCCCATTGCACTTGATTTCAAGTGGTCTGTTCTTCCAGATTTACATGACAGTGATCACTTTCTTATCCTTCTACTACATATACCCAACTGTTTCATAACCCTCGTTGGCAATTTGCTGGAGCAGATTGGGACTTGTACTTACCACCTGTAGCAAGGACCCCCTTTTGTCCTCTATTAATGAACCGGCACACTAATTTTCGACCTTAGTCCTATCTGTGGCGATGCGTTCTATCCCCCAAACCTCGAGTAGGCATTCTCAGACATGCATACCTTGGTGGTCTCTTACATGCCCCCATGCAGTGTGTTTAAAACGTGCTGCATGGGGCCATTATCGATATAATCATACGGCAAAGCATCTGTTGGATTTCAAGGAGGCAAGGGCAGTTGCTCACCACATCATCCACGACGCTAAACTCTCATGTTGGTGAAACTACGTGTATGCCATTACTTCATCTTCCCCTATGTGCGCGATTTGAAAAAAGGTGCGGAAATTGTGTGGTAAGTACACTCCAGACCCATCTCCCATTTTGCTGGTTGCTGGAGTTGATATCGCAGATGCTCTAGAAGTTGCCACAGAAATCGGGAACCATCTCCTGAGGGCTTCACTGCTGTCCCTCATTTCTTGCATCTAAACCTACCAAAGAGCAGTTGCCCTTAGATTTCTCCTCCGATAGATTGGAGCCATATAACGTACCTTTTACTCTTCTAGAATTGGAGTCCATGCTTTCCATTTGCCAGCCAACGGCTGGCAAATGGAAGTATACATGTAGCATACATCAGTATGCTATAACATCTCCATTCTACAGCCCTTTCCGTTCTTTTACGTCTTTTCAATCTAATTTGAGAGCGAGGGGTTCTCCCTCAACACTGGAAATCGGCTATTGTACTACCACTTCACAAACCTGGTGCCTCGAGGCTTGACACCTCTCACTATCGTCCCATTGCCCTGACCAGGGTGGTCTGCAAGGTGATAGAACGATTGGTAAATAGACGTCTGATGTGGTTCTTAGAGATATACAATAGCCCTTCCCCTCGCCAATATGGCTTTTGCAAAGGCCGCTCTACTTTAGACCCCCTTGCTCCACTTAGATACGTATATTCGAAATGCCTTTGCTGACAACCACTCTGTCCTAGCAGTCTTTTTTTGATCTAGAGAAGGCATATGACACCACTTGGAGGCATAACATTCTAGCCCAAGCCCATTCCTTCATCGCTATTTTCTTGTCCGATAGACATTTTTGGGTCCGTATTGGTGCCTTGCTTTCCTCGGACTTGTAGGGAATCCTACAAGGTTGTGTCTTTAGCACTACTCTTTTTCTCTTAGCTATAAATGACCTACCTTCTGTTCTTCCTTCGCATATTTGGTCGTCACTTTATGTTGATGACTTCGCTATAGCTTACTCGGGCGCTGACTGTCGACTGGTAACAGCCTCCCTTCAGGTTGATAGACCGAGTCTCCCATTGGACCACTTCTCATTCCTTTAAATTTTCTAGTTCGAAAACCCAATTCATTACCTTCACTAGATGTCTGCTTATTCCGGATACTCCCTTGTACTTACACAGTTCACGTATTCTGACATGTGATACGGTCAAGTTTCTGGGCCTGCTTTTAGATCGCCGGCTGACATGGAGACCTTACATTTCTTCTTTAAAGACAACTTGCCATGGTCAGCTAAATCTCCTTAAGGTTCTTGCACATCGTTCATGGGAAGCAGATCGTCACACTCTCCTCCGTTTGCATTCCACCCTAGTCTTGTCCAGGCTATATTATGGTGACCAAATCTATTCTGCAGCCTCTACTGCAACTCTAAGTTAGATCCCAATCGCCTTGGTGCCTTTCGTTCACCCCCTGTTGAAAGCCTCTATGCAGAAGCGAATATTCCATCCTTGTCCGATCGCCGTGATGCTCATTGCCTTCACTATTAGGTTCAATCTCATGACCTCCACAATCCTTCCATATACAGGATAGTCACTGATGTTAGCAGACATTCTTTATTTGTTCGTCACCCATTTACTCCGTCCCTTATCTCTCCACCTACATTCGTTCTTGTCTTCTCTTCAGTTACCACCTTTCTATGTTCATGTAGCATCTCACTTTTCCCTGCCCCCTTGGGAAGTTCCAGCTGTTTGTGTCTGTTCTTTGCCACTGCCATGCATGAAAGCCCTACTACCTACGGTGGCTTCTAACTCCCTTTTTCTTGACCACTTCTGCTCTCATTCTCATGCCATTGCAGTGTACACCGATGGTTCTAAGTCTTCTGACGGCGTCGGATTCGCAGCAGTGTTTCTGGACAGTGTCGTGTGAGGGTATTTATTATCCTCGGCTAGCATTTATATGGCAGAATTGTATGCCATTCTTGTAGCACTTATCTATATTGCATCTATGCCTCTGTCACCATCTGTGGTTGTTTCAGACTCCCTTAGTGCTTTACAGGCTATAAGAAAATTTGATACGCCTCACCCTTTAGTTCTTCGCTATGTTTCAAAATACACAATGGACTAAGTTTTTTACTCTACGACTGGCTTCCTCTACTGCCTATCTTTCCGACCATAGTAGTGGCAAGGTGCTCCTACACCATGTTGGTAGAGATATCATCACTGTCCAGAATGCTAACCAAGCTCATGCTCTTTCTCTCCTTACCACTATCGATACTATTCCTGTAACTATTGAAAAGCATCATTCCCTCAATTCTTGTAGTAGTACTGTCATTCTGCCCCATACCATTGTCCAGCAGAATTTCCAGACATGTGGCAATGACATTCTGGAACAGCTTGAACTCCAAGACCTCCCAATCCTCAAAGTAGCCACTTATGTCCTCCTTGCTCCGCAGGCAGAGACGATACCCTTGCAATGTAGCTCGTTTAACTTTTGACTGCCATGAGTTTCTGTCCTCTGTATATATTTGCGGGACACTGTTTAAAAGTTCAAAAGGTGATTCCTACTCTGCAACAATGTAGAAAATGCTGGTGTTTTGGTTATCCAGCAAAATATTGCAGGTCCATGGCCGAATGCCTAGTCTGTGGTGCCGACGACCATACCAATACGTCTTGTAGTCTACCTCCCTCTTGCCTTAATTGTCATGAGGCTCATCCATTTTACTCTCGCCGTTGCTAAATTTACTTAAATGAGCGTGAAATCCATTGTCTCAAAGAGGCAGGTCTCCCATATGCTATGGCAGTCTCATCTATGCCTCCAAGGGAGACTTCCCCGTATTTCTTATTCTCGATTTACTAAACGTCCCCCCTCCTCTGGGAGTCCCAACTCCTGCAGCCTCCTCTGTGGTCACCCCTTCCACAGTCACTCCTGTGTCTAATTCTTTTGCTGTCCTGGACTCAGAGGTCCTTACCTCGGCACCGCATTCTGTTCTCACCTCTTCCTCTTCTCACTCACAAGTTTGTGTCTACAAGACCTCGTATAACACCTACTCCCTATCGCCCCTCTCTTCCGAAGTCCACAACACCCCCATTGTTAAAATCTCTAAACACCTCCTTCCCTTCTGCAACCTGCACATTTTTCCTTCCCAGTCTCTGTACCTGGTTCTTCACCTCTAACTGGCTCTGTTACGAGTGTGGAGGTTCATCCTCCTCCTCCCAAGTTTCTTCCTCTTCTGCCGCCTCCCAGGTCACTTCCTCTCTTGTCCCCTCCCAAGCTTCTCTAGTTCCCTCTACCCTTTCGTCCTCCGCTACTTTGGGGAATTGTCTATCGACACCTGCCTTGTACAGCTGGTAACTACTACTACACACAAAATATATATATACACATCAGGGCAAGTGTCTATCGACAAGTGCTTCTGACAATTAGAAACTAACACACAAAGTATATAGTGCATACCGGATGTTAGTACGGTCATTAGTACAGTCATCTTATGTATTTATGAAACTAAGAAAAGGTCAGCAATCCTGCCAGTGTAAAATATTTAACTGGTTTCTTTTACACATTCATATGCCAGGGCGGTGGTAGCAGTTACCTACTTGGATGGTTGTTGTCTACCTGCCTCCCCTCCAGAGGTTCATGATGCCGTTGATGAGCTTTTGATTCAAGAAACTGAACCTGCCCTCCTTTTGTATCGAACTTGAATGCCTCCCATTCCCCCAGGTGCTATATGACCTCCGTGGGTTTAGCTCTCTCCCATGAATGCAATAAGGTCTACCCCCCTTGATGCTGGTGAGGGGCTCTTGATCTAGGGCATTGGATCTGTGCTTCAGTTCCCTGAATGCCCTCCATAACCCCCCTTACAGGCGCTGTATAATCCCTACGGGTTTAGTGCTCCCCATAATAATAATAACAATAATAATAATGTCTACCAACCTACTACCTGTTTATTATAAAAAATATTATTCAACTTCAAATTATCTTGATTCATTTATCATTATTTCAGAGCTTAGTCCCCCAGATACACTTTACTTACTGGCACACGCTCCACTGTACACTTTGAAGTCATCCATTGTGTAACCACCATTGTAAGAACTACCCTCTATGACTATCTGAAACCGAGTCCCAGACACGAGGGCAACTTGAGCAAACTGCCAATCAATGGTCCGTTGTAGCTTGTAGCTCCATATCTGGTAATAAAGAAACAGTACTATCGGTTAATCCACTAAACACATTGATAATTTTACAGCATAAATTCATTGTGGGTAATTGACAACTATTTGGTCCATGCGAAACTGATTAAACCGAGACTTCTTTTGTATTACAGTTAAATTGTTAAAAAGTAAACAAATTTATATTTATTTTTAATAGTCTTTGACTCCATGTCTTGTTGGTCGCTGTTGTTGGCATATGTGCGGCTGAGAACCTAGGACATCCCAAATAAGAATACAAGAAGGAACTCTTCAGTAAGCATATTGACCCATGCTAGGCAGGTCCAATTCGCACCCATCCATACTCACTTTTGTACCCAGCCAACCTATATTTAAAGCTATCCAAAATTTTCTTCCTAATGACGCTACCTGGGAGTTTCACTCATCTTCAACCTTACTGCCAAACTAGTACTTACCTATATCTTTTCTAAATCTAAATCTGATGGATTTGAATACATTGATGCAAGTCTTATTTTGGTTACTTTCAGTACGTTATTTATAGCCACTTTATTTATTCGTTTTCCATTTGTACGCTTCACTTATGTCCTCCTTAATTCTACTTCTTTTTTTGAGAATGCAAATTCAGTGCCTTCAACCTTATCTTAGTAGGGAAGGTTTCTGATAAATGGGATCATTTTCGTCATCTTTGTCTATATTTTCCAGGCCGTTTATGTCCATTCCGTAATATGGAGACCAAAACTGAACGGTATCTCTATAAAGCCAAGGATTCTATTAGTATTATTACGCACTTTAAATTTCTGCTAACGAGAACTAAATCTTTCTTGCATTCAGTATGACTAAAATCTAAATTATTTAGCTTGTAAGTACCGTAGTTATTTTTTTCCTAGGCTTAGTCTTACATTTGTCCGCGCTAAATTTAATCTACTACGTCTCTGACCACAATATAAACCTTCCAGGTCATCCTGTAGCTTCCTGGTGTCCTTATCAGAAATTATTTGGTGGCCAATTTTAGTATTATCGGCAAGCTTATATCAATATTTATCCCCTTATCTATTTCGTTTATGTACATTGTGAACAAGTGTCCTAATACCTACCCCTGTGGTACATCACTTGTATAGGGGTCCCCATTCAAATTTCTCCCTTCTCATGCACTCTTTATTGCCTGTCAGCCATGACTCGCTACCCAGGAATACTTCCGTTACTGACGAGGAAGGCTTAGAGTGAGGTTAATGGCGTCATATTCATTTCGTAATACACTCCACTACTATCAGTAACTGGTGTTTCTACTTATATTTCTGAATGTTTCTTAGCTTCTTTTATTATTTAGTTTTTCAACAAAAAGAAAATTACCAAAATATCATCTGTGAGGTCATTTATGAGCTGGTTGTTGTCCTCCTGAGCGGGTCGCTGGAAGAGTTTGAGTGTAGTGTTGTTGTCCGCACCAAAGCCTGCAAACCAGAAGGTGAAGCAGAAGGGAGAGCGATCAGCTGCTGGCTCCATCACAGGTGACACAAGTTGCAGACGTTGAGACCGTGAGTTGAGATTGAAGACATCAAAGTAGATATATCCAACTGTACGAAAGGAAAACAATATGGTAAATATATAAAATCTTGCTTCACTTTTAAACCATAATACCTGTTAGGGTGATATATTTACTGATGACGTACACTCGGTATCCAATGGTATATTACAAACCATTCTGGAAAGATATCCTGACTTTGCTCATTGTAAATAAAGCATTACCCCTGTGTGTGTGTGTGTGTGTACTCGCCTAGTTGTGGTTGCAAGGGTCGATTCACAGCTGACCGCGCGTCTTCAATGGTCGTTACTAGGTCACTCTTCCTGCTCCATGAGTTTTATCATACCTTATGGATTCTGCCTCCACTACATCAATTCCCAGACTATTCCACTTCCTGACAACTCTGTGACTGAAGAAATACTTCCTAACATCCCTGTGATTCATCTGAGTCTTCAACTTCCAATTGTGACCCCTTGTTACTGTGTCCCATCTCTGGAACATCCTGTCTCTGTCCACCTTGTTCATGCCTCTCAGTATTTTATGTCATTATCATATCCCCACTATCTCTCCTGTCCTCCAGTATCGTCAGGTCGATTTCCCTTAACCTCTCCTCGTAGGACATGCCCCTTAGTTCCGGGACTAGTCTTGTTTCAAACCTTTGCACTTTCTCTAATTTCCTTACAAGCTTGGCTAGGTGTGGGTTTCAAACTGGTGCTGCATACTCCAATATAGGCCTGACATACACGGTGTACAGGGTTCTGAACGATTCCTTATTGAGATGCCGGAATTCTATTCTTAGGTTTGCTAGACGCCCATATGCTGCAGCAGTTATTTGGTAGATGTGTGCCTCAGGAGATGTGCCCAGTGTTATACACACCCCAAGATCCTTTTCCTTGAGTGTGGTTTGTAGTCTCTGGCCCCCCTAGACTGTACTCCGTCTGAGGTCTTCTTTGCCCTTCCCCAGTCTTCATGACTTTTCACTTGGAGGGGGTTTGAACTCCAGGAGCTAGTTTCCAGACCAGGCCTGCAGCCTGTCCAGACCCCTTTGTAGTTCCGCCTGTTCCTTGTCCAATTGAATTCTTCTCATCAACTTCACATCATCTGCAAACAGGGACATTTCTGAGTCTGTTCCTTCTATCATGTTCACAAACACCAGAAACAGCACCGGTCCTAGGACTGACCCCTGTGGGACCCCGCTCCTCACAGGCGCCCATTTTGACACCTCGTCACGTACCATGACTCGCTGATGAGTTCCCGACAGATATTTCCTGATCCATTGAGTGCCCTCCCTGTTATACCTGCCTGGTCTTCCAGCTTATGCACTAATCTCTTGTGTGGAACTGTGTCAGAAGCCTCCTTACAGTCCAAGAAAATGCAATCTACCCCCCCCCTCTCTTGCCTTACTGCTGTCACCCTGTCATAGAACTCCAGTAGGTTTGTGACACAGGCTTTCCAGTCCCTGAAACTGTGTTGGTTGTCACTGACAAGTTCATTCCTTTCTAAGTGCTCCACCACTCTCCTCCTGATAATCTTCTCCATGATTTTGCATACTCTACATGTTAATGACACTGGTCTGTTGTTTAGTGCTTCGTGTCTGTCTCCTTTATTAACAACTGGGACTACATTTGTTGTCTTCCACACCTGAGGTAGTATTCCTGTTTCGATAGATGTGTTGAAGATTTTTCTTAGTGGTACACATAGTGCCTCTGCTCCCTCTTGTTGCAAACCTTTGCACTTTCTCTAATTTCCTTATATGTTTGGCTAGGTGTGGGTTCCAAACTGGTGCTGCATACTCCAATATAGGTCTGACATACACGGTGTACAGGGTTCTGAACGATTCCTTATTGAGATGTCGGAATGCTGTTCTTAGGTTTGCTAGACGCCCATATGCTGCAGCAGTTATTTGGTTGATGTGCACCTCATGAGATGTGCCCTGTGTTATACAGACCTCAAGATCCTTTTTCTTGAGTGAGGTTTGCAGTCTCTGGCCCCCTTTGACTGTACTCCGTCTGCGGTCTTCTTTGCCCTTCCAAAAATCTTCATGACTTTACACTTGGTGGGGCTGAACTCCAGGAGCCAATTGCTGAACCAGGCCTGCAGCCTGTCCAGATCCCTTTGTAGTTCTGCCTGGTCCTCGTCTGATTGAATTCTCCTCAATTTCACGTCATCTGCAAACAGAGACACTTCTGAGTCTATTCCTTCCGTCATGTCGTTCACAATTACCAGAAACAGCACCGGTTTTCGGACTGACCCCTGTGGAACCCCGCTCGTCACAGGCGCCCAGTTTGACACCTCGTCACTTACCATGACTTTCTGTTGTCTTCCTGACGTATTCCCTGATCCATTGCAGTGCCTTCCCTGTTATCCCTGCCTGGTGTGTGTGTGTGTGTGTGTACTCACCTAGTTGTGGTTGTAGGGGTCGAGTCCTAGCTCCTGGCCCCGCCTTTTCACTGGTCGCTACTAGGTCACTCTCCCTAAACCGTGAGCTTTATCATACCTCTGCTTAAAGCTATGTATGGATTCTGCCTCCACTACAACGCTTCCCAAACTATTCCACTTCCTGACTACTCTGTGGCTGAAGAAATACTTCCTAACATCCCTGTGATTCATCTGTGTCTTCAACTTCCAACTGTGTCCCCTTGTTGCTGTGTCCCATCTCTGGAGCATTCTGTCTTTGTCCACCTTGTCAATTCCTCTCAGTATTTTGTATGTCGTTATCATGTGTGTGTGTGTGTGTGTGACAATTAACGCCTGCATAAATAATTATAACTCATTACAATTGCGACCGGATACAAACATGTAAATAGTTCATTACCGCTGAAACTTGTTCAGCTATCAGAACTTTGGGGTCCAGTCCCTGGACCCATTATGTACCTCTGTAATCTTTTGACTACCGCCCACACCATGGGTATTGGGTTCATAATAAGAATATTATACCAACTAAACTCTGTTAAGCAGCTTAACATTTATCACCATATGTACATGAAAATCACTACATAATTCATAATTTGTATAATAAATAATAAATATATATAAAATATAGGGAGGTACCACCTCTAGAACTGTCATGGGGACCCTCATCCTCAGAGAAAAGAATAAACTTGCTTCAGGGAAAACTCAAGGTTTTCCCTGAAGCTGTTTGAGAATTTTCTCCTACCACCCCCTATATTTCAAGTATGTTTTATTTAAAGACAAAAATACATTGGCATATATATATATATATATATATATATATATATATATATATATATATATATAATAAAAAATTAAAAATATACAAATATAATGCTTTAGCCATGTGAAACAACATGAAAAATATGCAGAGAAAGACCTATACAAAACTACATCGAAAGGTACCCTGAAAGGAATGTACCATAATAACGGTAAAATGCTCTTGATCCAAAGAATTGGAATTAGCTTCCCTTTCCTTGGATCAGATTTGATGCCCCCCCTTTCACCTGGAGCTGTATGATCACTATGAGTTTAGAGCGCCCTTCGATAAGTGTATAAATCATTTTCCCAATGGGTTTTGCGCTTCCCCGAACTATAATAATACACCAGACCTGGAGAACCATATGTATGGTCTCTCATGTTGATAGGACGACGAATGGGCGAGGCATTGCTCCAGTTAAAGTCTGGGTCTGATGTAAGGTTCCTCCATCCACAGGAGCCTCGCGTAAAAGTGCAGTCGCCAGCTCGAACCACAGCTGCGTCTGGGATTGCTATAATGGTATACAGAAATTACAATGAATGAATGCTTATTTACAAGATCATTATTTGAAAAGACATATTATTAGATAATAACTACTGATTACAAGAAAACGTGTCGCTAAGTCAAGTTTTATCCGATTAAAAAATGTTTTGCCTGTTGTCAACAAGCCACGGGAGTATATATTTGGAACTTGAAATTACAGTACTGAATATATTATTTTAACAAGGAATTTCTGTATATATTACTGTATATATTATTTTAACACAGGAAATGCCTACCAAGGTAGGGTAACTTAAAGCAAATACATTTACCATCACTCATTCCCCAAAAATGCAACACCCCCTCTCCTCTCCTTCCAGTCTAGTCAGTGCAAGCACTATATTTCTCACCTTCAGAACTTAAGTTTACCTAAATGTTACGGTATCATATTCACACTCCAACTGCATGTTAAACTGAAGACCACCCGTTTCCATTCAGTCTGATTTTATATGCCCCCTGGATATTCTTGCTTCGACTGAAATTTCTCTACACCTTACGAGCTTCCTTTCAGTATTACTGACGGTGTAGAATACCAACGAGTTAATGAATATGGCGCATATGCAACACTTGGGTATCTTTAATGCCTGTGCAGCAGCCATTTTTCATTCGGATACAGGTGACTAACACTGGAGACGGTAAAATAGTAATTTTAAGCTAGTCTGTTCCTCGGCTTTGATAGAAGACCGCCAATACCTCAGCCTAAAGCAGAGACATTTGGTGAGACTTTATATGCTTGAGCATAAGTGAAGTGTAGCAGCTGGGGGTGACGTTACAGGTGAGCATGGAACATTAATGTAAAATGGCCATATTAAACAGTTGTTTTAAAGAGATCTAAGTGTTGCAGACATATCTTATTCATCAGGTTTTTGGTACTGCATGCCATCAGTAATATGATACTTGTCTGATACAGTAACACCATGATCTCTTGCCACAGGGTAAATCTGCAAACCTTCCTTTACACTTAACCCTTACATTATACAAAGAAACTATAAATTTACCTCCTTTCCCACATACATGGTAACAAATGGACCAACCATTCGAAAACTACATCCCCACCTGGATTCAGTATCTCCATTCTTAGTCAGATCCATCTTGGTTGTTTTTAAACCCTTTCAAGCTGTCTACTACCTCACTAACTTTATTCCCTTCTCACAAGTCTTTCCTCTTAACAGATCTATTCCACTCTACTCCACGCATGAAATCACTGCCTCCTTTTCATTATTATTATTGTTATGGGAGCGCTAAACCCATACGGATTATACAGCGCCTGTGGGGGGGATGGAAGGCATTCAGGCTCAATTCAAGGAATTGGAACACAGATCCAATTCCCTAGATCAAGAGCCCCTCACCAGCGTAAAGGAATCTCCCATGAGGGGTACCTCCTTTTCAAAATATTATCTCCAATACTTTTATTGCCTTATCTTACATCTCACCTCTTAAGTAAGTAAGTAAGTAAGTTTATTCAGGTATACACAAATACAGTTACATAGAATTATCATACATTGCAGCATATGTGTAGAGAACCTAGGATAACCCAAAAAAGTCAGACAGAGTGACTTATTTCCATTGGGGTCCTTTTACCTTATTATTATAATATAAAGGTTATAATATTTTCTTATTATTCTACTTATTATTCTTATTATAACTACCAAATCATCTTACTCCCTAGAGCCAGGCTTTATCACCTTGAGGAATTTCTCTCCAAAACAGTTGCCTGTTTTATAAATAATCATCGCTTCTCTTTTTCCTAGTTGATTTTTCCGTCACTCGCTTAACTTCTCTCCAGGTGTTGTGCCGTTTTATATAATTTGTACAATTTGTACTCTATAAAAATCTTTCACACGTTAATTACCTCATTACCATACTTTTTAACCTCATCATTTTAACAGTCATTCCTCTCTCCTCCTACATCTGTTCTTTTATAACCACAGATGTTTGCTGCGCACTTCAGCACAACATTCATAAATCTTCACTATACATCACTGACCTCCTCATCACCAGTTTCTCTCGCACTAACCCACCTTGCTTGGAAAATCCTAGAAGAGTTGGTCCCAAATCTGCAAAAATAAATCACTTCCCACGAAAGCAAGAGGATTAGCATACGGTATAATATACCCCCAGTGAAAAGCAGGGGTGCGACAAGTACACTAAAAAAATACAGTAAGTGTAAGAGGCTCAAGACTATTCAACAGCCTCCCTTCCATACATAAGGGGAATTGAGGAAATGGTATGGTGATACCGACAAGATGTGGAAAAAGACACTTATGTACAGTTCAGGACATTTATTAAAGGAAACGTTTCGCCACGAGTGGCTTCTTCAGTCCTAATACAGAGAAAACTAAGAAAACATTTATATATATAGTGGCAGGAGTCAGGTGAGGTGACGCGTGGGTAGAGGTGGTGGTGGTAGTAGTAGTAGTAGTAGTAGTAGTAATGGAACTAAGGAGGTGAGGCAAGAGAGGGACCTGCTGGCATCAAGTAACACCAGTTCCCAGGATGGGTAATATCCTCTTGCTTAGTAATTTTGAAATACTGTAACTACCGGACTTTTGCTTTATAGTGTTACTGACAGAAATTAGTGCAGCTTCAATGCATTTTCTCCGTCTTACGTCGTCTTCTTTAATAACTAGTTTAGCTTCATTGAATTTCATGAGGTGTCCAACATCGTCTCTATGTTGAACACATGCGTTTTTGCGGTCATCGTTTCTGCAAGCATTTTTGTGTTCTGCTATTCTAATGTCCAGAGTTCTGGCTGTTTCCCCTACATATACTTTGTCACACCCCCCACATGGTATAGTGTAGATTCCTGCACTTGTGCCAGAATCATGCTTGGGTTTTTGTATCAGGTTCCTAATAGTAGTTGAAGAGCTGGTAGATATTTTAGCCAGTTTTCTGTCAAACATGTTTGAAACATTAGTGGCAACGTTGCTGACCGGTAAAACGATGTAACTTGGAGGCTTTTCTTCAATTTGATAGGTGTTGGTCTTACTGAGGATACGTGCCGCACGTTTTCTACAGTCACGTATGAAGTGTAGGGGAAAGTGCAGTGAACTAAAAGAGTTGGTGATGTATGTACATTCTTCTTCGAGGAGCTGTGGACTGGAAATTCTGTAGGCTCTACAGAATTTCCAGTCCACAGTTCCTCGAAGAAGAATGTACATACATCACCAACTCTTTTAGTTCACTGCACTTTCCCCTACCATCCTTCCTTAAGAACTTTTTAACTGACAGACATTTCCATGTTCGGGTTAATAATGTGCTCTCCCCAGACTTTATCCAAGCTGAAGGTGTCCCCCAGGGATGTGTTCTGAGCACAACACTTTTTCCCCTTGCTATAAATGATTTGGCCTCTAGTCTTCCATCCAATATTTGGTCATCACTCTATAATTGATGACTTTGCTATTGCATGTGCAGGCGCTGACTGTCACCTCATTACAGTTTCTCTCCAACATGCGGTCGACCGTGTTTCCAATTGGGCCACCACACATGGGTTTAAATTTCCCAGTACCAAAACTCACCAAATTACTTTCACTAGACGCTCTGTCATCTCCGATCATCCTTTGTTCATTGCCTCTGTAGCTTGCTCAGCTATCAAAACTTTGAGGCCCAGTCCCTGGACCCATTATGTACCTCTGTAATCTTTTGACTACCGCCCACAGGATGGGTATGGGGTGCATAATAAACATATTAAACTAACTAACTACTTTGTACCTCTATGGCTCCTGTATCCCTGAACGTGATACAGTCAGGTTTCTAGGCCTCCTCTTTGACCGTAGGTTATCCTGGAAACCTCACATACCTCTCTGAAGGCAACTTGTCACAGCCGGCTGAACCTTCTGAACCCTTGCTCATTTTTCATGGGGAGCTGATCGTCGAACTCTCCTTCACCTACATTCCGCCCTCATTTTATCGAAACTTGATTATGGTGACCAGATCTATTCAGCGGCCTCTCCTGCTACTTTCTCTAGCCTTAGCCCCATTCATCACCAAGGATTACGTTTATGCCTTGGTGCTTTTCGCTCTTTCCCTGTTGAGAGCCTGTTTGCAGAAGCAAACGTTCCATCCTTATCCGATTACCGTGATGCCCATTGCCTTCGCTACTATGTACGCTCTCATGATCTCCACAATCCTTCCATTTATAGAATGGTCACCGATATTAGTAGACATTATTTGTTCGCCGCCCCTGTTTGCTCCGTCCCTTCTCCCTTCGCCTACATTCGGCTCTTGTCTTCTCTTCAATTACCACCTTTCTATGTTCATGTAGCATCTCACTTTTTCCCTACCCCCCTGGGAAGTTCCAGCTGTTCGAGTCTGTTCTTTCTCACTCCCTTGCTCGAAAGCCCAACTGTCTATGGTAGCTTCCCGCTCTCTTTTTCTTGACCACTTCCACTCTCATTCTCATGCCATTGCAGTGTACACAGATGGCTCTAAGTCTTCTGACGGCGTAGGATTCGCAGCATTGTTTCCGGACAGCATCGTATGAGGGCATTTACTGTCTTCGGCTAGTATCTTTACTGCTGAATTGTATGCCATTCTTGCAGCACTTATCCGTATTGCATCTATGCCTGTGTCATCATTTGTGGTTGTCTCAGACTCCCTTAGTGCTTTACAGACTATACAGAAATTTGATACACCTCATCCCTTAGTCCTCCGTATCCAACTTTGGCTACGCCGCATCTCTTCCAAGCATAAAGATATTGTTTTTTGTTGGATCCCTGGTCATGTTGACATACATGGCAATGAACAGGCAGACACTGCTGCGCAGTCAGCAGTACATGACCTACCATTTTCATATAGAGGTGTTCCATTTACGAACTATTTTGCTGCAATAGGTACCCACCTTCACACCCGTTGGCAACAACGTTGGTCTACTCTGCCGAGTATAGGTTACTGGCCATCTTCTTGTCACCAGTGTCGCGGTTGGGAGACTACGCATTGGCCATACTCGTCTTACTCATGGTTATCTCATGGAGAGGCACCCTACTCCTCTCTGTGAGAATTGTCAGGTTCCATTATCGGTTAGCCACATTCTATTAGACTGCCCACTTTATCAACGAGCGCACAGAATATACTTCCAACGTCGTCTTCGCTCCGCTGCTCTCTCTTTACCTTCCCTTCTCGCTGATGGACCCACCTTTCATCCAGACTCTCTCATTGACTTTTTGACAACAACTGACTTACTTCACAAACTCTGATGATACCTTCAGCCCTTTCTACCTCAATCTCTTGCTGCCCTCTACCCCCGCACTATCCCCTGCCCCGCTGTTTTCTGTAACCTATTGATCATCCCTCCCCCCTTCTACCGCCCAATACTCTCGCTTCCTTCCCTACCCTGCAGCGCTGTATAGCCCTTGTGGCTTAGCGCTCCTTTTTTATTATAATAATAATAATACCAAAAGGCTTGGTCTAAGACCGAGCCGCGGGGGCGTTGATCCTCGGAACACTTTTTGGGTAGAATCTAGGAACTTCTCACTAACCATTCCCTTTATTTCATTCACCTCTACTTGTGTTTTATCCAGTGACAAATTTCTTTGTTCTTAATTTTCAACTTGACTCTTACTGCAGCTACCACTAAATAATGATTTGAAACGTCAATTATTCTAAAAGCATGTATGTCTAGAAGTCTCCCCTAAACTTTTTTGTTAATCAATATATATTCCTGGAGTATACCTGGAGAGAGTTCCGGGGGTCAACGCCCTTGCGGCCCGGGCTGTGACCAGGCCTCCTGGTGGATCAGAGCCTGATCAACCAGGCTGTTACTGCTGGCTGCACGCAAACCAACGTACGAGCCACAGCCCGGCTGGTCAGGAACCGACTTTAGGTGCTTGTCCAGTGCCAGCTTGAAGACTGCCAGGGGTCTGTTGGTAATCCCCCTTATGTATGCTGGTAGGCAGTTGAACAGTCTCGGGCCCCTGACACTTATTGTATGGTCTCTTAACGTGCTAGTGACATCCCTGCTTTTCATTGGGGGGATGTTGCATCGTCTACCAAGTCTTTTGCTTTTGTAGTGAGTGATTTTCGTGTGCAAGTTCGGTACTAGTCCCTCTAGGATTTTCCAGGTGTATATAATCATGTATCTCTCCCGCCTGCGTTCCAGGGAGTACAGGTTTAGGAACTTCAAGCGCTCCCAGTAATTGAGGTGTTTTATCTCCGTTATGCGCGCCGTGAAGGTTCTCTGTACATTTTCTAGGTCAGCAATTTCACCTGCCTTGAAAGATGCTGTTAGTGTTCAGCAATATTATCGTCTTAAAACATATACTGTTACCAAATCTCTTACTAAACACAATTCAAATAAAGGATTCCATTATCCTTTATCCCGGGTTTCAAAAAAATGTTCTACAATACACTACACATCTCTCGCTTTATTATTAACGTTACCAAAGTAGTTATTGTCTCACTTGGTTCAACATTCCATAAACATTCATTTAATACCTCCCAGAATTAATCACTCTCTACGTTCCTCTTCAGGTGTATAGATACTTATTAACCGCCACTTCTCACGTCCCAAGGTTATTCCTAACTACAGAATCTTGTAATTTAAAAAAAATATATTATTACCACAGTGGTTCATTTAATATTACCACGACTCTTCTTAACTTTGGTTATCTTGGATACACTTGATTTAATCCCATTGACTCCCCATCCACTCTCTGGGTTGGTAATATTATGGGCCATAACACGATGGTAACGTTACACAAATGTATTTATATGGAACCTTTATTAAAAATAAAAATTCCAGAAACTGCATTTGTGTCTTCCATTGTTGCACCTGGTGCTAGGACATTCAATTTCTTTCCAATAACAATAATTTCATTCTTAACATCCATATTTCATCCACTCAACCTGATTTCAAAACTTCTTTGTAATTGCATATATATATAGAATAATACGTTATCAGTTTCTTGTTCCAAGCACCTAGTTGCCTTCTGTGACATATTTTGAAATTTGGTTAGTTTCATTTCATTATGAAAATAAAATTGACACTAATTTTTTTTAGGTCACCAAGACGTATCATAAGATTTAAATGAAAAATGAGTCCTACATTACATTTAATATTAATAAGGACAACATCAGTAAACATCTAACAATTGTGAAAAATATTAGATATGATAATATAATTATAAACTCAAGTTATATAAAACGTGATAGACTTAACTGATGAACAACCTTAATTTAAACAAAATTACATTGATGTGATACCTATGTAGCTTACTGTAATTATCCTAATATTTGAATAAACCCGAGTTAAATTCATAGGAGAAATTAAGATATTTATCTCGCTCATTAACCTGTGAAGCTTTGGAAAATAATTTTAGGATTATCCGTAAGCAAAGGCGTTAAATGTAATCAGAGAGTATTTTAAGAGCGTGAGAATGATGAATGAGATACTCAAGTAAGAGTAATAATGTGGAATTGATACAGTACAGTAAAAATAGATCAGACAAATTTTGTTGTCATATTTCTCATCCAATCATCCAGAGGTCTTATTATTGAAAGGCTCTTGATCCATAGAATTGGAGCTACTATTTCCTTCACCAGATCAGATCTGATTACCACTCTTTCCCCAGTCACTGCATGCCACTTACAAGTTTAGCGTTTCCCCACTAATGTATTAAAAATGTAACTGTGTGCCGTTGCTACTTCTCCTTCATGCAACTGAGGTTACACGGCACAATATTTTTTTAGGAATATTATCGACCGCAATTTGAACTGTACTTTTGGTGTAGATGAAGCCTGAAAACAATCTTTAAATAATTAGTGAAGGCTCTAGCCTTTAGAAAATTAGGGCTTTTTGCAAAACTTTAAAACTTACTGGGACAGTTGCCTTCAAAGATGCTAACATCATCAATAGCAATGGTGCCAGAGCTGTTAGCAGCGCCCCACACGCCTTCAAACACAACCTATAACATTAAAAATATACAAATATAAATACTTTTTCATAAAAGCTTACAATGGTTACAAATTGTTACAAAAAAGTAGCATGGGTTTGATGCTTAACCCCTGATTACGCAAAGCATTTAAAGCATACTGAGACTATTCTTTATAACTAGGATTCAAAACAAGTTTAGAATTCATAGTTAAAGCTTGAGTGTTGAGTTTAATCCAACAAGTTAATATGAAGAGATGGTAATATAAACATTGTGGCCCGGTGGCCTGGTGGCTAAAGCTCCCGCTTCACACACGGAGAGCCCGGGTTCGATTCCCGGCGGGTGGAAACATTTCGACACGTTTCCTTACACCTGTTGTCCTGTTCACCTAGCAGCAAATAGGTACCTGGGTGTTAGTCGACTGGTGTGGGTCGCATCCTGGGGGACAAGATTAAGGACCCCAATGGAAATAAGTTAGACAGTCCTCGATGACGCACTGACTTTCTTGGGTTATCCTGGGTGGCTAACCCTCCGGGGTTAAAAATCCGAACGAAATCTTATCTTATCTTATCTTAACATAAATTAAACTGACAATTCTGATTACATTAATAATTGGGTGATACATTACATATGATAAAAATAAGCCAGCATTTAAGATACAGTATCATATTTACAGTAATTTGAAGCAAGATCACTTTTGCAAATATTACTATGTAACATTTCTCATCCGTTATCAATATTTTTAGCCCTTAAACTGTGGCAGATCCCACTGCGACAGGTAACGGTCCTGAACAATATTTCATAAATAATTCAGTATGTTTGTTTAATGATGCAGGTGAAGCTATCAACATATATACTGATAATATTCTTTACCCAAGAGAAAGAACATTAATTAACCTTTGCTTCGGCTCTCAGAGGACAAGCAAAATATTGCACTTCATGCACTTTAGTTGTTATTGTACCTAAACTTATACTTTTTCTAATCTTGTACCTTGAAGTCTCCATCAGCTCTAAGAGGAGCCTGTCCGAAGTACCAAGTGAGCCCCTGGAAGTTTTGCAATGCCCAGATGGGTGTGAGGACAATGGAACTCTGGTCATCTTCACGCAACAAGAAGGCACTCAGTGAACCAAGATTGGGCTCAGCCTCGGTCAATGGTTCAAACAGCAAGTACCTGGAAAAAATTGTTTTATTAACAGAAGTCTAAACAGTGTGGCAGCAGCAGTAGAGGCCATAATTAGTTAAAATAGCGACAGTGTTGGTGGTGGTGTTTGTGAATTTTCATTTTGAATTCCTAGCTACTATAAAAGGAAAGACGAAATGCAAGGCGTAACAGGAAACAGGGTGACATATTGTGCATGGAACTGAAGTTAATGGTTAGTGAAACCAATGGTCGAGGTGTTAGTAAATGTGTAATGGCTCCAGTAACGTAGCACATACAGACATAATAAGAGACAGAACTTAGTGAGCACAGTGAATTATTGCACAATACCTCACAGAGGTAAAGCCATCACCCCTAGGCTGGGGCACAAGTTCTTCATCAACCTCTACAATTTCTCCTGTGTCTGAAATTTATATCATCATTTTGCAGTAAGGTAATGCAGAATGATAATATAAAGGAAATTTTAGATTAATAAAGATTTGTAATTACACTGCTGTTAGGCGCGATTTCTATATCTTGCTTAGAATGAAAACTTATCACTTAATTCGAGGATTGACGCATAAATCCGCTAGTATAGCAGGTCTTTAATTAAATGTAACATCGACTTATATTGTAAAAACGTATTTTGTGTTATAATTTAGGGGTGTTACTTTAATAAATGTAGTAATAAGATCAAATGAATATTAATGCGTTTAGGTATGGTGTAGGTAGCAGAGAGACACCTGTGGTGTCTCTCTGCTAGAATGAGGATCTGTTCACTTGAGGCTCCGGAAATGGCGTATAACGCCTGTATTCAGGTATATTATTGTTTATAACCTTTTCCAAAAGTTGAAGTAATAAGTTTCACACCCTCTCCTTATTTGATCTGCGCATTTTTAAAGTATTATGGATGCAATAGTTTTTATTTGTAAAGCTTAGTAAAAGATGCTTACCATAACCATCTGCTGGGGATAGTGAAGGGAGTTAACAAATCTGAGGTTGCCCCCGCCCCGTACAGTGCGCTGTTTACATCGCGTCATTACGATTTCACGAGTCAATATTGGAGAGTTTTGCTTCTTTTAGCGATTTAATTTTGTTATTATGAAGAAAATAGGTTATAATCATAACCATAACTTTTAAAGGGGTGAACCGGAAAGTCAGCGGAAGGCATCGGTCAGATGACCAAAATCTCAAGCTGCGGGTCTTCACATGACTAAGACCCGCATCAAGAAACTTCCTGTTTCCTGACAAACATTATACACACATACATATCGATTCAATGGCCATCTACTGGAAGCTAGGATGAACTATAAATTGGGAGAGATCATGGTAGGTGGTCAGACTGTCCACCTGCCAAGGCTGACAGACTGATCACGTCAAAACTATTTTTACTCTCTAGCGTTATATTCACCTGTATTTGAGTAAAAGTTTTGTGCAGACGAAACGCTTAGGCAATAAAGATACCTAAATGTTGCACGTGTTTCTTATTCATCAACTTATCGGCATTATATAAGATCAATAATAAGATGCTTGTATAACACATCAACACCCTGGTATCTTGGTACAGAAGACGGTGTAACTCCTATCCTAAACAACAGTTCAGCATGACCAACTTCCACTAGTGGATCACACTCACTTGTGACGTCAACTCCAGCTGCTTCATCTCACCTCTACTCCAGTACATAACGTCTGGCTACTTACCTATGCTTTGAGTTTGACGGTGAAACGTTCGGCAATAAAGTTACCATAGCATTTTAGATGTATCTTTCTTTCTAACAATGAAGATAGCAGATGCGTGGTCGTAGATAAGCTTTTCACACTACAAAATGTTTGTAGTCACAGTGACTTACCAAAACGACAAGCATTTAATCTGTCGTTGACCTTTCATGACCGGAGAGAGCAGCCAAGCACGATCACCCTCATATTTCCTGTCTGGGCTTTCCAAGGCCATGTAGAAACCTGTCCAAATAAGAAGATTGAAATAAAGATTATGCAACAATCTGGAGATCGCATATAAAGCATTTTTCTATATTAAAAAACTTGACACTTATGGGGAATGCAACTGAATGTTGTAAAGAAGTCGGCAAAAAAATAAGATGAAAACGATTTGTTGTGGTTAATAATAATAATAATAATAATAATAATAATAATAATAATAATAATAATAATAATAATAATGAATAACAACAATAATAATAATAATTTGACTTTCTATAATTTTTGAGCGCCTGTTCTTTCAAGAAATTCACCAGCCTTTACGCAGCTCAGGTTAACCAAGGCCGGGTCACCACTACTTGGAAAAGACCCGGGCCGGGAGAGTACCGGCGAATAAAAAACAAAAACAAAAAAAAAAAAACAATGTAAATCTGTAACTTTTAGTAGCGTATCACTCAGTTTATATTCACAAGGGTTGTTATTACTTTCCCACATTTCCATTACACAGAACCTACCTACATTACTCCAATTTTCATTGCCCTATTTTGTTCAGTTTATATTCTTGTAAGGATTTACAGTAATTTTTTATTACCTTTTGCATTTGATTTTAGTATCATCTTAAAATAGTGTTTTCCTCTTGTTAAGTTTATATATATAATATATATATATATATATAATTTTATATATATATATATATATATATATATATATATATATATATATATATATATATATCGTGCCGAATAGGTAAAACTGGTCAATTAGCAAGAATTCATTTAAAATTAAATCCTTTCTAAAATTTTCTCTTATACGTTTAAAGATATATTTTTTCATTTATGTTAATGTAAAAATTAATAATTTTGTACCAAAAGAGCCTTAGAAAACGTCCCACAGGGAAGTGTCGTTGGCCCTCTTCTCTTTCTCATTTACATAAACGACCTACCAAATGCATCGCAACTACTCAAACCCACACTATTTGCAGATGACACAGCATACGTCTCCTCTCACCCAAGCCCAGTCATACTAGCCAATACTGTAAATACCGAATTACACAAAATATCTACCTGGATGATGATTAACAAACTTACTCTCAATATTAACAAAACCTACTTCATTCATTTTGGGAACAGAACAACAGATGTTCCTCTTAACATAATGATAAACGGATCACCTATTACAAAGCTCACAGAGAGAAAATTCTTAGGAATCCACCTTGATAATAGACTCAAATTTCAAACACATGTACAACAAATTTCCAAAAAAATCTCCAAGACCGTAGGCATACTATCGAAGATACGGTACTATGTTCCCAATCAGCTCTCCTGGCCCTATATCACTCACTCATTTACCCCTATCTCACCTATGGAATCTGTGCATGGGGCTCAACAACAATAAATCATTTCAGACCATTAATTACCCAACAAAAGGCTGCAGTCAGAATGATAAATTCCCACTCCAGGCAACATACTCCACCAATATTCAAAACTCTAAACTTACTCACCGTACAAAACATCCATACTTATTATTGTACTTATTACATACATAGAACACTAAACTCGGATATAAACCCTCCCCTCAAACTTCTCCTTACCAACCTCAACAGAACACATGACCATAATACAAGGCACAGATCACTCTTTGATGTTCCTCGTGTCCATCTCACACTATGTAAAAACTCAATGCACATAAAAGGCCCAAAAATCTGGAATTCATTACCTGTGAATATAAAAGAAACACTGTTTATCAATTCAAGACTTCTTAAAAACCACTTACTCACTCACAACTAAGTAAATACTGAATAACTGAATCTCATAAATATATAACCTGTGACCCTATCAAACTATGTTTTTTTTTTAATTACATTACCTATTAGAATACTCCATTCTCTTGAATGCGCAGTAACTCATTAAATAACCATGACCTGTTTGTGCACTACAAATCATTGATTTTATTCGATTTGATCGGATTATATCATACATTGTTATGCTACAATTTTGTTACTTTAATGCTTCTTATTTAAAATACTCATTTGTACTTCATGTTGTAATTTGTTTACTATAGTTTTTACCACTGAATATATCATTGCTTAGTTAATCTTAAGTTAATTTTAAACCTGCCCATAATGCTCTGCAAACAAGGGGCTTTTGACATGTACACCCAATCACTATATTTCTTTGTACAACTATGTATCATGTCCAAAATAAATAAATAAATAAATAACAAGCGCAATTTAATTTAGCCTACTCCAACTAAATATATTTTAGATAAGTTTACAATAATACATACATACACATGCACACACACACACACACACACACACATACACACACACACACACACACACACATACACACACACACACACACACACACACACAGAGCTACAAGTGGAGGGGGAAGCAGGAAAGCCAGGACGAATGAAGCCAAACTACAAGAAAGGGGACTACACGGGAATGAGGAACTTCCTGAACGGGGTTCATTGGGACAGAGAACTGGCAGGGAAGCCAGATAATGAGATGATGGAATATGTAGCAACAATGTGCAAGGAGGCTGAGGAGAGGTTTGTACCCAAGGGTAACAGGAATAATGAAAAAGCCAGGATGAGCCCATGGTTCACCCAAAGATGCAAGGAAGCAAAAACCAAGTGTGCTAGGGAATGGAAGAAATATAGAAGGCAAAGGACCTAGGAGAATAAGGAGAGCAGTCGTAGAGCCAGAAATGAATATGCACAGATAAGAAGGGAGGCCCAACGACAATATGAAAACGACATAGCAGCGAAAGCCAAATCTGACCCGAAGCTATTATACAGCCACATCAGGAGGAAAACAACAGTCAAGGACCAGGTAATCAGGCTAAGAAAGGAAGGAGGAAAGAAAACAAGAAATGACCGTGAAGTATGTGAGGAACTCAACAAGAGATTCAAAGAAGTGTTCACAGAGGAGACAGAAGGGGCTCCAGAAAGACGGAGAGGTGGGGCACACCACCAAGTGCTGGACACAGTACACACAACCGAGGAAGAAGTGAAGAGGCTTCTGAGTGAGCTAGATACCTCAAAGGCAATGGGGCCGGATAACATCTCTCCATGAGTCCTGAAAGAGGGAGCAGAGGCGCTATGTGTACCCCTAACAACAATATTCAATACATCTATCAAAACAGGGAGATTGCCTGAGGCATGGAAGACAGCAAATGTAGTCCCAATCTTTAAAAAAGGAGACAGACATGAAGCACTAAACAACAGACCAGTGTCACTGACATGTATAGTATGCAAAGTCATGGAGAAGATTATCAGGAGAAGAGTGGTGGAACACCTAGAAAGGAATGATCTCATCAACAGCAGCCAACATGGTTTCAGGGACGGGAAATCCTGTGTCACAAACCTACTGGAGTTCTATGACAGGGTGACAGCAGTAAGAGAAGAGAGAGAGGGGTGGGTGGATTGCATTTTCTTGGACTGCAAGAAGGCGTTTGACACAGTTCCACACAAGAGATTAGTGCAAAAACTGGAGGACCAAGCAGGGATAACAGGGAAGGCACTACAATGGATCAGGGAATACTTGTCAGGAAGACAGCAGCGAGTCATGGTACGTGGCGAGGTGTCAGAGTGGGCACCTGTGACCAGCGGGGTCCCACAGGGGTCAGTCCTAGGACCAGTGCTGTTTCTGGTATTTGTGAACGACATGACGGAAGGAATAGACTCCGAAGTGTCCCTGTTTGCAGATGACGTGAAGTTGATGAGAAGAATTCATTCGATCGAAGACCAGGCAGAACTACAAAGGGATCTGGACAGGTTGCAGACCTGGTCCAGCAATTGGCTCCTGGAGTTCAACCCCACCAAGTGCAAAGTCATGAAGATTGGGGAAGGGCAAAGAAGACCGCAGACGGAGTACAGTCTTGGGGGCCAGAGACTACAAACCTCGCTCAAGGAAAAAGATCTTGGGGTAAGTGTAACACCAGGCACATCTCCTGAAGCGCACATCAACCAAATAACTGCTGCAGCATATGGGCGCCTAGCAAACCTCAGAACAGCATTCCGACATCTTAATAAGGAATCGTTCAGGACCCTGTACACCGTGTACGTTAGGCCCATATTGGAGTATGCGGCACCAGTTTGGAACCCACACCTAGCCAAGCACGTAAAGAAACTAGAGAAAGTGCAAAGGTTTGCAACAAGACTAGTCCCAGAGCTAAGAGGTATGTCCTACGAGGAGAGGTTAAGGGAAATCAACCTGACGACACTGGAGGACAGGAGAGATAGGGGGGACATGATAACGACATACAAAATACTGAGAGGAATTGACAAGGTGGACAAAGACAGGATGTTCCAGAGATGGGACACAGCAACAGGGGGACATAGTTGGAAGTTGAAGACACAGATGAATCACAGGGATGTTAGGAAGTATTTCTTCAGCCACAGAGTAGTCAGGAAGTGGAATAGTTTGGGAAGCGATGTAGTGGAGGCAGGATCCATACATAGCTTTAAGCAGAGGTATGATAAAGCTCACGGTTCAGGGAGAGTGACCTAGTAGCGACCAGTGAAGAGGCGGGGCCAGGAGCTTGGACTCGACCCCTGCAACCTCAACTAGGTGAATACACACACACACACACACTCACACACACACACACATATGTGTGTGTGTGTGTGTGTGTGTGTGTGTGTGTGTGTGTGTGAGTGTGTGTGAGAGTATAGGTTTGATCAATAAGGCACCCCGATGGTGACAAATCTGCATGGTGGAATATTCACTCATGAAATTTGTGGCACTGCCCAAAACGTCTTTATGACAGCATTTTCACTCACAGGATGAGCTGCACTACCCGATGCTGTCTTTAAGGCAGTATGTTCACTCATCATACGTGGCACTACTTAAAACTGTGTTAATGGCAGTCAGTATGTTCAGTCGCAGGATAAGTGGAACTGCCCAATGCTATTGTTATTGCAATACGTTTACTTAGAGGGGAAGTAGTACGCCTAAGGTTCTCTTTTTTTTGTACTGTAGTATATTAATTTAGGATGAATGGCAGTGTATATGATGGTATACTTTCTCACAGGATTAGTTGTGTATGATGGTACACTTACTACAGGACTAGTGACACTGCTTAATACTGTTTTCGTGGCGACATCTTCACTTGCAGGATAAGAAGCACTGCTAAATGAATAGTTCCTTCTGGATAATATCTAAAAGCTATGGTTAAATATTTAAGGTGAAATCATTTTGAAAATTATAATTTCACTTACACGATAATTTAATGCAGTGTAAAACTGGGCTTTTTTGACCAACACCTTAAACACTTTTTTAAGACATTTTCTTCAAGACTTTTAGTTTATCTCTTCCCTCCCCAAACATACGTATCATTTTTCCTTAATTTCCCAAGACAAGGTCACCTAGCTGTTCATCTCTCATCACATGCAACAAATATCCTACCTTGCTGGCTGCCTGTGGAGTGGTCAGTGGTGGGAAAAACAAACTCAGATGCTTTCACTCTCAAGAAATCAAGATCATCGAGTCGCTGCCTGATCTTTGGGTTGATCCAGCCGCAGGAGTCCTCCTCAAAAGTGCAGTCACCCGAAGTGGGAGGAGATGCCACCGCTGGTAGTGCTAGCAGACACAGGCACATATAAATATAAATTAGTAAATACTTCAGTCATTATTATGAAATATATATTGCTTAAGAGTAAATAGATGATAAGTGCTTTACAAACAGAACATGGTATAATACGTAATTTTAAAAGTTTATACGAGATGGAACTATGTTGCTTTTGGGGAAAGAGAAATGTAATAGAGCAAAAGATTTAATGATGAATATTCTTAAGCATCAGGTAGTAGGAAGGTAGACAGTAACCACCCAGGGAGGTACTACCGTCCTGCCAAGTGAGTGTGAAACGGAAACCTGTAATTGCTTTACATGATGGTAGGATTGCTGGTCTCTTTTTTCTGTCTTATAAACATGCAAGATTTCAGGTACGTCTTGCTACTTCTACTTACACTTATGTCACACTACACATCCATGCACAAGCATATATATACACATCCCTCTGGGTTTTCTTCTATTTCCTTACTAGTTTTTGTTCTTGTTGATTTCCGCTTATCTCCATGGAGAAATGGAACATAATTCTTCCTACGTAAGCCTTGCATGTAGTAAGAGGTGACTAAAATGTGAGGAGCAAGGGGCTAGTACCCCCTTCTGTATACATTACTAAATTTAAAAAGAAAACCTTTCGTTTTTATTTTTAGGTCACCCTGTCTCAGTTGGATATGGCCGGTTCGTTGAAAAAAAAAATCTTAAGCATGTTTTGATAAAAGTGCAGCATATTCGCAGAGATAGAGCTTAAATACTGCAGACAAACGTGTGAGGTGGAGCAGCGGAAGGCGAAGGTACCAGTGCAAAAAAGAAAAAAACAAAACTGGTGGAAATAGGTCATGCCTATAGGTTAGGCCAGCTTTGAAGAATTCCCTACATCAAGATCCCAAGATGTTGCTGTGTCTGACAGAATGTGAATAAATGTTTTAGAAACCCGACAAGTTGATAAAGATACATGCAGTACATTGTAACTCACTAGCACAAGGCCCCGAGATTATGGTGATGTCGTCTATGGCAATGTCTCCCAGACGCGGCTTTCCGATACTGGCTTCAAATACAACCTGCAAAGAACTGGTTGTCAGGGTAATATCTTTATACATTAGGAGGTAATATTTCATACAGTATATTGCCGGTCATTAATTTGTAGTATTTGAATCCAATGTAATTTCCAGAGGTCTGGAAAAGTAGGAAGAATGAGTTGCTGCAAAGTATGGAGTTAAATTTATTGATACTTATGCCATAATTATAATCTCATAATATTAAACCTTTCAAGAGAGGGATGTATCCTGATGCTAACGAAAGGCTCTTTATTCGAGGAATTACAGCCACCTTCCTTTTCTTTGAATCAAACCTGATTGCCTTTTATACTCCAGCCACTGTAAAAATCCTTCGGGATTTGCGATTTCCCATGTTTATAATAAATTTGCGATATGAATTGGCTGACAATTTTAAAGTAACTTCGTCTTGTTTTGCACCTTAAGTATGTGCATAGCATATATGATTAATGTAGGTTATTTTCAGTTCAATATACAAAGGATATATTGGTAGGCTTGCTGAGACAGTACCTAAGACAGTAATATGACCATAATTTTTAAAGGGGTGGACTGGTAAGCCAGCGGAAGGCCTCGGTCAGATGACCAAAAGCTCCATCTGTAGGTCATCATCTAAGACCTGCGTCAGGAAACACTTGTCCTATTTCTTGACGTACCTTACCTAATCTAACCTAGACAGTAATATTGTCTGACTTCTCATTTTAAAACTTTATATTTATTTACAGTCACATTCATTATCACACACTCAACTCAAACCCAACCATTTTAACAAGCGAGTGACAAAAAAATCTGTGCTTGTTCCATATAAAAAAAATCACTCACACTCAATTCAGACACTATCATTTTAACAAGCGAGTGACCAAAAAATCTATGCTTGTACCAAATAAAAAAAAGACTGTGCTAAAATTTAAGTTTTATGATATATAAATCAGCAGAAAATTTTGAAAATACACTGAAGTATCAATAATTGCTTAATAATATAATTTAGCTATATACTGGTTCATTCGCGGTCAAGACTTGCCTTGAAGGGTGTGTTGGAGGAGAGAGGAAGCTGAGCCATGATCCACTGAGAACCTTGGTTCCCTGCGAGGCCCCATAGCACTCGCTCTCTCCTGGAGACCACGTCTTGTAGGATCACACGCAGGGTACCCACACCGCGTCCAGACATGAAGGTGTAGAAGCGCATACATGGGGGGTTGTTGGGGTCTGGTGTTGGGAAAAACATTGTGGTGTAGGTACATTGTGATTTAGTGATGGAAAGAAACATTCTTGGCGAATGTAAATTTTCGGTACTTTTATCATTTGACCTAGACTTATCTGTCTTTCTAGTTGTTCATAAATACAACCCAAATAACCCATCGAACCGCAACATCTTCACCTGTCACAGTGTAGGCGCTGTACTTCCCGTTTCCAAACTCAAGTTAATTGGTAGGTTTACTTGAATCCGATCTTGGATATCACCTTGATATTATCCGACCATACATATTACGACCAGCACATCAAAACCCAAAAGCCATTTGTTGTCCGCTCCTACTGGATGTTTCTTTCCTACCTCTCAAAACCTTTACGCCCTCCATCCAACCCTTCCTAGGACGTCTCCAACACTTATCCACACCCAGATTATTACACCCTCTTCATCAACTAATCTTACTACATCATTTCTAAATGAAACCATTTCAACAAATCTACTTCTTTTCTTGAATTATGCACTACCTTTCATAAAACAATCTTCATATGTTCTTAAACTCTTGTGTATTTTATATACCCTCCTCCAAACTTTTTTCCCTTTTTGTGGCAAACCTTTTTTTTTTTGAGACTGTACTATGCTATGTACTAATAAATAGAAACAGCATACAGCTGTTTCTATTTATTATCCAAGAGTAAAATCTCAACTTGTTAATTATTATCTATCACATGTCTTGTGGTATATAGAATCGCTTTAGGTAACAAAACTCCCTCTTAGACCAATCTTATGACTCACACAATGCCCCCTTCTTAACGTCAAGTTGAAATATCTCATTCCACTCTTGTAAAAAAATGATCTAAACCGATATTTCCCATTGTTATGAATGTAACTGATTTTAAAATATTGAGCTTCTTTTTTACTT